ACGCTCGTCAAACCAGCTCCAAGAATGGCAGTCTTTGTAGAGTTCTACTGCCTTTTTCCGCAGACGAATGGCCTAAAAAGAAAAAAAACGCACGTTAGTATATGCTCTACTTACAAAATGATACCGTTTCAGTTATCTTGGAGTTAGCGTTTGAGGTGCGTATAGTAGTGCCAAAAAGTCTTGAAGATACTCACAATAAGACGCCAACAAGTTTATTGTAAGAATATGGCAAAAACTAGGGATTTTAATATGTTGGTTCAAAGAACGGAAATACGGACAATTTGAAATCCCGGGCTCGAAAAAGATTTATGCTACACACAGTGTGTCCGTTGGGGTATGCTTAATATCGCTGTTATCTTATAGTTTTTAGGGTCTGCATTGCAGTGTAAATAGAGGAGTTGTGGTGTTATTTCCAAGTAAATTCATCTCACTCTAAAAAAGGTAGACGCTCGACGTGGAAATCCAACAAGAGACTTGGAAACAGGGAGTTTGACCAATTCTCTCTGAAGCAATTAGTGTAGGCAGCTGAAATGATGTGAACATTTTTTTACTGGTTACATAAATGGTCTGTCAGAGAAAAAGAACAGGACACATGTGGAATGCTTAGTGCGCTTGGTACAGAAAAGAAGACATTCGTGGAAAACACTGACACTTCAGTAGAGCGCGTAATCTTTTCCTCCTAAAAGATGACTCGAAGTGAAAAGCCGAAAACGGGATTGCATCTTGACTTCTTAGGAGAATACAATACTAGGACAAAATACTGACTTAACTAGCAATTAAGTAGGCCTTACTTGCGCCCAGATTTTCCCTCTCAGATACATATTTTAGATTGCAATTCCCATAATAACGACAAATTAGTGTGGTGAGTTTATTAGGAACAAGGTGGAAAATGTTTTCGCACCGTTTGGAAGAGGTAGACAAGACTCCAGCTTTACTTACCCCAACCGCGCGTTCATACTGGTCTAATATGATAGCAGCTAGCATGAATAAGTCTTCTTTTCCTTCGAGAGCGGCAAGAGATTGTGAGCCCACGTATGACGAAGGCGTGGACGACGATTCACCAACATTAAGCAACACGGGTAGTGGATGTGACAGTAGGGTATCCACATCACCAGTTAGAAGAGCAGTCAGAACTGAGACGAGGGAGTACTTGTGAACCATTTGGGCACAAACGAATCGGCAGCGTGTGAACATAAGTGCGATCAAATGCAGACCAACAGCCGTATCAGCAACTGGAGAAGAGGGTGTCGGAAGGAGGACACCCAGAAATGCAAAGAGGTTGGTTGTTACGGCAACGACCAAATTCTCAATACACTGAGTCTCCTGTTTGCTACAGAGCATCAGTTCGCTGATTTGGTGCAGAATCTACAGAGAGGGGGGAAAGTGTAAAGGTCAGGCATGGCGGGGAAACCTGACCAAAATAAAGTGCAAGAACAACCCCACAAAATACGGCCAAACTCTGAGGTGCATGGCCATTCAGGACACATTCATTCATCCAACGTTATAAACATAGACAAGTTTTGCTTACAATAAAATGATACTCAATAAGCCCGAGGTTTGTGAGAAACACATGACTGTTCTAAAGGGAACAGCACAAAGGCTAGTTTTAGACTGATTTTACAAGTTCCACTACAATAGCCAAGCTTAACGAGTGCCAGTACAAAACATCACTATTG